TATATATAAGATTTGACTATGTGAGGTAAAAGAATATATTGAGCCTTGTTTTTTGGCACTAAACATCATAAAATGCTGCAAAAACTGAAGCTTAACAAAGCTTGGGTTCATGTTATTAAGGTGTGTATTTTATACATTATGCAATAAACAAAGGCTTCTAGAAATTGAGAAATAAAGTTCTTGGGTGTATTTTATCATAAAATATTATACTTAAATATAGAATTGGTTTAATTTAAAAGATATATGCTGGCCACCACATGATATGAATTTTAATATGATTTTTTCAAGTTGTGTGACATTAAATTGCATCAATTGTGGTGGGAAGAGAAGGGGCGCGCGCGCGCGCGCGCACACACACACACACCCAAATATTTCACATCACATTCAAATACAACTATTTAAATTTTTAAAATGAGAAATTCACTTTTTTTATGCATAGATAAGGTATTGTATGTATTTAAATCTTCTTAAATATACATATTTTTGCATATATGAAGTAAACAAATTGCTCCCATGACTACTATTATCACATCATTAAACATATGATGGTGACCCAACACATTTTCATGCACATCACCTCTCTTATTTATTACATTCCATATGAAAAATTATATTATTTTATAGCATATTAAATGAACACAAAAATATTACTCTTCATTGGTTGTAGCAAGTAACAAAATTTCTTTTGACAAATTCACATTTATATAATAGACCCTAACACAAATTTTGCAAATACATATTATCATTATTATAAGAGCTTTCATAAGCAAAACCATTATTCATGCATGCAAATCAATAAACCTTATCTCAAATCAAAATTATGTCATATGACCTCTTTCTTAGGCTGAGGCATTTACATATATACCAACCAATTCTCTTGCATTTACATATCTAGAACATGTATTTTACTTTTTACATTTATACCACCCAAATCCTTCTTATTACACAAAAAATACCGTCATTTTAACTTTACAAAAGTAACATTTGTAAAAGCAAAGGAATTGAGTGGTCGGTAGGTAAATCTTCCGGTTTAAGGGTGCGTAAGTGTTAAAGTGCACTTGTGTCCGTCCGTACGGTTGAGCTTCCTAATGTGTGGAAACATAAGCATTCAGCACATCTAGTAAGAGAAATGCATAGTCTCAAAATATCATCATAAAATAAAAATAAATGTGGCCCAATTAATTAGCCTGAGATTGGTTGCCAAAGAGGAACATAAAGAAGAAAGGGAAAATGATGTAATTTATGAGAGGCATGTGGACACAGCTTGGTGTTAGTGAGAGAAATGGGGTGGGTGAGGGGACACCATCCCATTTATCATCTAGCTGTAGAGAGAGAGAGAGAGAGAGAGAGAGAGAGAGAGAGAGCACTCTATCTTAGGCTTCGTTTGGGAAGACGGCGCACGGAAAATTTTCCCTCACTAACACGAAGTTGTTTCACAAGAACGTTAATTTTTCACTGTTTGATCGAAGGCTGCCTTCTTTGTTCTGCGGACGTGGCTTTTAAAGGTGCTTCACTGAACGACGAAGCTCCTTCCGACGAAGGCTTAGAACTTTAGTCGGTGTTGGCAAAGTTGGACTGTGAGGAGCAAATATTATGATAACATTGAATTAAAAATTTAGCTATATACCCTTAGCATTTGCATTTGCCGTAAAGGCCAGATCCTCAGGGATTTGCCCCAACAGCCTACTGTTTTAATAATGGATTAGATACTACGCCAAGCCAGAGTTAGCTTAGGTTTATCTCATTTTATTTTTCGACATTTAATTTGCTTGATTAATATTTTAATGAGATGTGGACTTTAAATATCTTATTATATGTTCTTATAAAATTAGCACGACAAAAAATATTATTTAATAATTT